ATTAGATCTGTTCATTTCAGCAGAGCCTTCAACATAGGAGGGATGTGGGTGGCCTTTACTGTTATTACAAGGCATATGTCAAATACCACACTTGGATCCCCTTCGAGGACAGCGGTGAAAACCAGCTTTTATCCACAAGGACGGGCAGGAAAGAAAAAAAAAAAAAAAAAAAAAAAAAAAAAACAAACAACAAACAAAAAAAAAAAGAAAAAAAAAAAAAAAAAACAAAAAAAAAAAAAACGAAACATCAAAAAACCCCAGGCAACTCACTCGGCTTACCTTGTCCAGAAAATCACATTCAATCTGAGATCTTACATTCCCTAGGATGACTCGAGTAATGGAACACATTCGGTACAGCATAATGATGTTCAACGAGTCGATAAACTGTCAGTTGATCAAATGAAAAAGTGCTGGCCCACAGAGGCTCCATTCATCCTGTTCCCTACTTGTATGTCTCATAACATAAAATGCCTTTCAAATGAGCTGATGTAGGTAAAAGCATCTCTAGCTTGCAATACGGTAGGAATCACTTAACCTGTGAATAGCTGTCAATCAAGCTAAGGGAACCTTAACCTGTCAAGACATGTGGTAAAAAAAAAGAGAGAGGGAGAGAAGAGAGAAGAGAGGGAGGAGAGAGAGAGGGGAGAGAGAGAGAGAGTAGAGAAGAGAGAGAGAGAGAGAGGGAGGTGGGAGAGATGAGAGAGGGAGGAGAGGGAGAGAGAGAGAGGGAAGGAGAGAGAGATGACGAGACGAGAGAAATGAGGAGAGAGAGAGGAGGGAGAGAGAGAGAGAGGGAGAGAGCGGGGAGAGAGAGAGGGGATAGAGGGAGAGAGAGAGGGGGATAGTGGGAGAGAGCGAGAGGGAGAGAGAGAGAGGGAGAGAGAGAGGGACGAGAGAGAGAGAGGGAGAGAGAGAGAGGGAGAGAGAAGAGATGGGAGGTGAGCAGAGAGAGAGAGGAGAGAGAGAGGGAGAGAGAGAGAGAGGAGGAGAGAGAGGGGAGCGAGAGGGAGAGAGGAGGGAGAGAAGCAGAGAGGAGAGAGAGAGAGGGAGAGGAGAGAGATAGAGAGAGGTGAGGAGGAGAGAGAGAGAGAGAAGTGGAGAGAGGAGAGAGAGAGAAGAGAGGTGGCCGAGGAAGCGAGAGAGAGAGAGAGAGAGAGAGAGAGGAGGGAGAGTGAGAGAGAGAGGAGAGAGGCGAGAGTGAGCGGAGAGAGAGGGAACGAGAGAGAGAGGGAGAGAGAGAGCAGGGTGGAGAGAAGAGAGGGGGAGTGAGAGAGAGGGAGAGAGGAGTCGAGAGGGAGAGAGAGTGTGAGGAGAGAGAGAGAGAGGGGAGAGGGAGAGAGAGAGAGGGAGAGAGAGAGAGGGAGAGAGAGAGAGAGGGTTTGTCCCTTATTACTTTGATAGTAAGGTTCTCACTACATGTTCTAGTGTGGGGTAGCTTTTACTTAGTGGCCTTATTTGTCTAGGGGTAATACTTACATCATGGCTGATCATCTTGAGTGTCTCTGATACCCTTTCACCAGCCCTCTTCACAGGTTATGTAAACTACTACTATAAAAATATAACTATTCTCAATAGATATGTACAGAATATACAATTACAGCCTCACATTTTCAAAACAAGATCTACACACTCCATAGATGTTGTCACCCCTACACATCTTGAAATGATGTTCTTCAAGCTCTGTATAAACACTAGTACCTCTGTACTAGCATGTGCAATGTACAGACCTCAGTGGCAACACGCAGACCCTATCAACTTCCTAATGAAAAATATTGATTCCCTTCTGCTACAACACAACTGTCAACATATTATAATTGTTGGTGACCTCAACCAGCACCTTATCAAGACGGGACTTTGATGACTTCTTGCGTGTTTGAAATGAGAAACTTTGTTGATTTCCCTACTCCATTCTCTGGCCTCCTCCCTTGACCCAGTTAGTGAGTGATCTGGCAGAAGGCATAGTCACTTGTCAACCCCTCTGCTACGTTGGATCATCTGACACAAGGCTGTTTTACCACACTAGATCCCAACAGAACGATGTGTGAGGAGTCCACTACGTCACAACCTGGCTATGGGAAAGAGGTTTTAATTGGCAGCCCTTTGCTCTGGCGCTCGCCACCACTAACTGGAATGCTCTTCTCCAGGGGATGTGACAACCAAGTGAAAAGCCTTCCACTGGACACATCCTTAATCTTCAACAAGAAACACATTCAATCAACGGCAATACTGTGACAAAGGCTACAATCAGCCTTTGGTTAGGCTTTCGTTGTAGAGAGGCTTGCTACTGCTATGTAACAGCCATGCGAAGGTATAAAGAGAACATCATACCACGTATAACAGTGGAACTGCACATGCAAGCATGTAGGTTTGGGTGATGTTCAAAGGTGGGCTTGCTAAATGGGAGGTGGACCACTAAAAGAGAAAGTTAGCATCAGGTAGGTTTGGCTCCAAAACCTGGTGGTCTGGTCAAGGACAGACAAGGTTATCTGCCTGATGAACTTTATTCTCCTCTAAATCGACAGGATGGACCACATCTACTAGTAGTCAAGAGAAGGCGGGACCTCTTTGCTGCAACACTTTGCTACCAAAATGAAAGTTCCTGATCCATCAAGGGGACCCTCCTTCGTGCTGCAAGAATTGGTTCAAATCTGTACAGTGGTGACAATTAAGGCAGGAGGAGGTTGGCATTTCCTTCTTAATCATTGACCAAGAAAAGGCTGTTTGGGCCCAGACAAGTTGAGCCCAAGATTGTTGAGTAAGATGGTGCAGCCAGATAGCAGCCACCTCTAACTCGCATTCTTTCAGGCACTGCCTTAATTTATGACAGTGGTAAATGGCCTCTCCAGGAAAGAGACAAATGTAGTCCTGTTCACAAAAAAGAAGAGCAGAGCAGAATCAGCAACTACAGACCCGTGTCACTCCTGTCAATCATGGTAAGATCTTGAGACAATTATCTCAAGGCAAAGAAGATTTTTTGATACCACTCAATACTTTGTGATCGTCAATATGGCTTCAGGGATGTAGGTTTACTATGCTTGCTGATTCTGTGCTAAACCTCTCACTTAAGTGGGCACCAGTCACTGGTTGAATCAAAGTCAGGGGGCAGTGTGGTTGCACTGGTCATTGCTGGCGCTTTGACGGGTGTGGGCACCAGGGCCCTCTTAGCAAAACTATCAAAGCACTGGGACATTGCAGGCTTACGTATGTATCCTCAGTGATTACCTTCATGGTAGATCTCTAAGTGTAGTCCTCATTGGAAACGGAATCAGCAAAGGCATCCTAATTCTGGGGGCAAGCGTTTCCACAAGGAAGTGAGGCTGGTCCATGTTATGGGAATGTCTACTTCAACGCCTTCGTCATCTCATCCCAGAATCAATTGACATATTCAGACCGACTGTACATGACATTCAATTATCCAAGAGGAAGAATATTGCCAGCTGCTTATGCTCTCAATCACCAGCGCTGTGGCTATTATCAGCTTGGGGAAATAGATGGCAAGTACTACATTTGCACCGAAAAAACGCAAATGATGTTCGTCTCTAGGCACCATCGATGGTAAAATGCTGGCGCAGTAGTATGGATGAATGGCGACGATCGTTGGCCTGGAGAGAAGGTTGATCTACTTGGGGTCGAATGAAATTTGACTCCAAACTAACCATGAAGAACATTGTTTGTAAATCTTGCAAAACAAGGCAGCCAGGAAAGCTTTACAGCACTTCGCCGTATCTCGCAATTGCTTGACAGTAGGGGGTTGCAAGATCTGTAAGAGGCACAAGTACGCTCACACCTTGAGTATATGCTCCACTTCTTGGTTTGACTTGCCCCCCCTCTCATCTGCGACTGCTGACAGAGTAGAGAACAGAGCAAGACGTATCATCTCTCGCAATGGGAACCCATTCCTGGTAGATCTGTCATTTCAGCGGAGCCTTAACATTAGAGGGATGTGGGTGGCCTTCCTGTTAGTACAGGCCAATATTGTCAAAATAACACACTTGGATCCACATCGAGGACAGCGTGAAACAAGCTTTTTGCCACAAGCGGGCAGAAAGCAGCAACTTCACTCTGGCTGTACCCTTCTCCAGAACATCACTCCATCTGAGAATCATAATACCCCAGGATGGACTAGAGCTATGGAAACCACATTCGTACTGCATAATGATGTCAACGACGATAACCGTCAGTTGATCAAAATGAAAAGGCTGGACCACAGATGCTCCAACTTCATACTGTTCCCTACTTGTATGTCTCATAACAAAAAATGCTTTCAAATGAAGCTGATGTAGTAACAGCTCTTAGCTTGCCATAAGTTAGGAATCCTTAACCTCGTAAAATAGCTCGTCAATAAAGTAGGGATCCTTAACCTTGTCAAACCCTGTGTTAAAAAAAAAAAAAAAAAAAAAAAAAAAAAAAGAGGAAGAGAGGGAGAGAGAGAGAGAGGGAGAGAGAGAGAGAGGGAGAGAGAGGGAGAGAGAGGGAGAGAGAGGGGAGGAGAGAGAAAAGAGGCGAAGAGAGGGAGGGAGAGAGCGGGAGAGGAGAGGGAGAAAGAGGGAGAGAGAGGGAGTAGACGAGGGAGTGAGAGGGAGAGAGAGGGAGAGAGAGGGAGAGAGAGGGAGAGAGAGAAGAGAGGGAGAGAGAGAGTGAGAGAGAGGGAGTGAAGAGAGAGGGTGAGAGGGAGGAGAGGGGAGAGAGGGGAGAGAGAGGGAGAGAGAGGGGAGTGAGAGGGAGTGAGAGGGAGTGAGAGGGAGAAGAGATGAGAGAGAGGGAGAGAGAGGGAGAGAGAGGGTGAGAGAGGGAGAGAGAGGTGAGAGAGAGGGAGAGAGAGAGGGAGGAGAGGAGCTAGAGAGCTTGGGTGAACTAACCTGCAACCACATACAGGGAGAGCTCAAACTCATCCACACACTTTTGCCGCATACATTCACCATGCAACCACATATAGATGAGTACACATACATACAAAAAACTTTCATTCAAAGTGTATTTTACAACTGAGTTTCACTCACTTCTGGTGTGCTAGATATCTCCTCCTCAGAAGACGATGCTGTCACTTGATCCACTTTTTGTTTCCCCAGCCATGTGTCAGCACAGCCTAGCGGTACACCGTCTTCATCAGTCTTTGCCCTCTTTTCACTTACTTGTTCTTCCAGTATTTCAAATTTGGAGGATGGGGCCAGTTCCACCCCATCTTCTTCAATAGCTTCTACTGGTATAGGTGGAGGGGAGATGTGTGTATGCACATTTTTAAAGACTTCACTTTTAACAACCGAACCTTCTAACTGGTTAGAAGATTCCTGTTCCATCTTGAGTGATGTTTTCTAACATTTATGAAAGTGTTAAGTAATAAAATTCTTCTTCTAATTTTACACCTTAACATTTGACACCAACCAGATACTTCAACTGAAGAGAGTAGAATCAGCCATGGTGGTACTGGTAGTAAGACTGCTTATAATGCTCACTCACACTCCTAAAATAAAGAAATAATTTAATTATTTTATTAGATAAAAATAATTAGAAAATACAAATACAGTAAAGCATAGATTAGCTGCTTTGGAGAGGAGATTCCACCAGATATTGGGGCCAGGAGCCAAGTCTCGACCCCTGCAACCACAATTAGGTGAAGACTACCAGATAATCATCAAACTGGCTAATGAGCTCAAGACAATTCCTACGTGAAGTGCAGTGGGTAAATGAGCTAGAGGGAGAGATGTTAAATGAAATGATGGAACACGAGACCACAAAGAGCAAGAAAGCAGTAGAGAAGTTTGTACCAAAGGGCAACAGAAACAATGGGAAGACCAGAGCTCATGGTTTACTAAGAGATGTGGAGAGGGCCAAAGCCAAGCGTGCAATTGCATAAAAAAAGTATAGAAGGGAAAGGAACCAGGAAAACAGGGAGCCGAGTCGAAGAGCCAGAAATGAATATGCATGGACAAGGAAAGAAGTGTCAATACAAAAATGACAGCATCAAAAGCCAAAACTGACCCAAAGTTGTTATACAGCCACATCAAAAGGAAAAGAACAGTCAAGGAACAGGTAATCAGGTTGAGGAAGGAAAAGAATGGCTCTGTGTGCACAGTATAAAAAAAAATCCTGAAGCACGCTGTGCATAACGAGAAAAAAAAAACTTGGACTGTTTTTGGTTTAAAACAGCAACTTTCTAGTGAAATTTTGTATTGTATTTATGGTTTTATTCTTGTTTCCATGGTCTCATTTGATAGAAAAAAAGAGATATTACAGAATTAGAGATGATTTTGATTGGTTTCACGATGACAAGTATCTTGAAATTGAGCTCAAAGTAGCGATGTTCAAGGATAAACAAGCCATGCGTCCAATACATGTCAACTGGTGAGTCTATTCTTTCAAAAGTGCACTGATATTATTTATACCATTTTCACAACGATGCAGTAATATACATAACAGAAAACCTTCCATTTTCTCTGAGAATAAAAATTCAAAATGGATAGAAAAGTAATGTAAGAGGGGCCTAGAAGATGTATGAACTAAGGAACAGATAAAATGTTATTTTAGTACCATGAATGTCTGTCTTGTTTATTCTAGACCCTATTTTGAAATTGGCATCTTTTGAAATTTGTGTGAAATTGCCCAAATTGCCAATTTCTGACCACTTTATTGATGTTGAAATCAGTTAACATGGGCAGATTCTTGTACTCAACCACATTAGAACAATGGTAAGTTCTAGGGAAAATCAGCTATGATTTTAGTAAACTGCCAACATTGGAATTGACCGAAAATAGGGCACAAAGTGGGTGAAATTGCCCACTTTGAGACTGCTAACTTCGCGAGAGCATAATTCCGTAAGTTTTTCATCAAATTTCATACTTTTGGTGTCGTTATGACCGGAAAAAGATTCTCTATCATTTCATAAGAAAAAAAAATTTTGACCCTGAGAACGAGTTTGGGAGAGGGCCTCTTGACCCTCAGAGGGTTAAGTGTTTATATTTCCAACAGAAGTCCAGCAGTTATACTACAGCTTTATACATCATTAGCAAGGCCTCGCCTAGATTACACAGCTCACTTCTGGTCTCCATTTTACAGAATCGATATAAATTCATTAGAAAATATTCAGCGGCAAATGACAAAATTAATTCATTGCATTAGAAATTCTTCTTGTATGAAGAAGATGAAAAAAAAAAAGGGGGGGGGACTTTTATTTATTTATTTATTTATTTATTTATTTATTTTATGTCTTTGCAAACAGTACATTGAGATTTTGTATTCACAACAGTGGGTTGCAATGCAAAGAGAGCCTCTATTATCCCTAGGCATTATGGGCCAACTTAACATTATTGGCTTACAGTCTACTTAACACTAAGGAGTATATCATAGTTGTACAGAGGATAGTAACTTTTTTTTCATAGTTGTACAGTAGAATATTAAATTATAATTGAATCAAAATTTGTAATATGACAAAAAAGAATAATTTATATTCAAAAACGCTTTTTTGTGAAAACAATGATTCAGTTACATTCCTGTCAACAATGTATAAAAGATTGAAAGTGATTGTTTCAGTTATGATGTGGGAGTACATAAGTGAGTAAGTGTGTACTGAGTATTTAGCATTTAGTCTAGGGTGATTAATTAAGTGGCTTTTGAGAAGAGTCTTAAATTGATTTTCAGACTGGGTTACTTTAATATCTTCTGGTAATGAATTCCATATTTTGAGGCCCTTTATGTGCATAGAGTTCTTACACAGTGTGATATGGACACAAGGTATATTAATGAGAGATCTGTGTCTTGTGTTGTGGTCATGTGTCCTGTTTAGGATGGTGAGGAGAAGTTTGAGTGGAGGGTTTATATTTGCGTGTATTGTTTTGTGTATGTAGTAGGCACATGAGCAAGTATGGATGTTCTTAATGGTGAGCAGATTCAGACTTTTGAAAATTGGTGGAGTATGCTGGCAGGAGTGGGATTATTATTATTATAATAAAAAAGAAGCGCTAAGCCACAAGGGCTATACAGCGCTGCAGGGTAGGGAAGGAAGCGAGGGTATTAGATGGCAGAAGGGAGGAGGGATGATCAGTAGGTTACAGAAAACAGCGGGGCAGGGGTATTACGGGGCGTGGTAGGGGGTAGCAAGAGATTGAAGTAGAAGGGCTGAAGGTATACAGAATTGTGAAGAAGTCAGTCAGTTGTGTCAAAAAGTCTCAAATGAGAGAGTCTGGATGAAGGTGGTTCCTCAGCGAGAAGGTAAGTAAAGAGAGGCAGCAGAGCGAAGACGACGACGGAGGTAATATTCTGCGTGCTCGTTGTATAAATGGGCAGTTCCAATAGAATGTGGGCTGACTGATATATGGAACTTGGCAATTCTCACAGAGAGGAGCACGGGCGCCTCTCCATGAATATCCATTGAGTAAAGAAGACGTATGGCCATGCGAAGACGGGAGAGCAGTAGTCTCCCAACCTCGACACTGGTGATAAGAAGACGGCCAGTACTATTCTCAGGTTTATTAGATGGAAGTTTGTTGCCAAGATGTAGACCAACGTTGTTGCCAACGGGTGTGAAGTTGGAAGATATTGCAGCTAAAATAGTCCGGTAAATGGAATCCTCTACATGGTAACTGGTAGGTCTCATGTACTGCTGGATCTCCGCGCCAGCAGCGTCTGCCTGTTCATAGGCCCTGTTCGTCAACATTACCACGGACCCAACAAAAATCTAATATTCTTTATGCTCGTCGGATGGTAAAGATTGTTGCGGCGTAGACAAAGTTGAATTACGGACGGCTAAGGGGTGAGGTGTATCACAATTTCTGTATAGCTTGTAAAGCACTAGGGGAGTTGAGACAACCACAAATGATGACACAGGCATAGATGCAAGACGGATAAGTGCTGTAAGGATGGCATACAATTCAGCAGTAAAAATACTAGCCGAAAGTAGTTAAATGCCCTTGTAAGCCGCTGTCTGGAAAACACTGCCTGCGAATCCTACGCCGTCAGAAGATTAGAAGCCATCTGTGTACACAGCAATGGCATGAGAATGAGAGTGAAAGTGGTAAGAAAATGAGAGCGGGATAGCGTCCGTAGACAGTTGGGCTTACGAGCAAGGGAGAGAGAAAGAACAGACAAACAGCTGGAACTTCCCAGGGGGGGTGGTGGTATGGAAAAAGTGAGATGCTAAATGTACTTAGAAAGGTGGTAATTGAAGAGAAAGACAAGAGCGACTGAAGGCGATAGAGAGGAAGGAGACGGAGTGTAAACAGGGCTGGCGAACAAATAAAGAATGTCTACTAATATCAGTGACCATTCTATAAATGGATGGATTGCGGAGATCATTGATGAGCGTACATAGCGAAGGCAATGCATCCCGAGCGATCGGATAAAGGAATGGAACGTTCAGCTTCTGCATAGAGGCTCTCGACAGGGGAAGAGCCGGAATAAAGCACAAGGCATAAACGTAATCCTTGTGATGAATGGGGTTGAGGCTAGAGAGCAGTAAGTAGCAGGAGATGCCGCCTGAAATAGATCTGGTAACCATAATCAAGTTCGATAAGATAAGGGTGGAATGTAGGCGAAGGACGGGGTTCGACGATCAGCTCCCCATTGAAAGATGAGCAAGGGTTTTAAGGAGGTTCAGTACGGCTGTGGCAAGTTGCCTTCTGAGAGGTAATGTGAGGTTTCCAGGATAACCTACGAACAAAGAGGAGGCCCGAAAACTTGACTGCTTCACGTTCAGGGATCAGGAGCCATAGAGGTAAAAAGGTTGATCGGAGATGACAGAGCGTTCTAGTGAAAGTAATTTGGTGGGTTTTAGTGCTGGAATTTAAAAACCCACGTTGTGGTGGCCTCAATTGGAAACTCGGTCGACTGCATGCTGGAGAGAACTGTAATAAGGGCAATCAGCAGACTGCACAGGCATAGCGAAGTCATCAAAATAGAGTGATGACCAAATATTTGATGCAAGACTAGAGGGCCAAATCATTAATAGCAAGGAGAAAAGTGTTGTGCTCAGAACACATCCCTGGGGGACACCTTCAGCTTGGATAAATGTCCGGGACGAGAGCAATTATTAACCCGAACACGAAATGCTGTCATTTAAAAAGTTCTTAAGGAAGGATGGTAGGATTGCCTCGAAGGCCTAAGGAGTGGGCGTTTGGGCTAAATTATTATACCTCAAAGTTGTGTATTATGCCTTTCTCGAAGGTCAAAAAAATCTGGCAAAACTGATTGGTTATTCGACAAAGGACGTTACGAAACATACGTATCCAAGCGTATAGTAAAGGGTCTATGGTTAGAACGTCCCTCTTACGAAAAGCCATATTGACGGACGTGAGAAAGAGACTGTTGTGTGTCTCTAAATACCATCACACACTAAACGTCTAATTTACTAGGCGTTCATCACTTTGCAAACTGACACTGGTAAGAGCAATGGGATATAGTGGGAGGTTTCATGTCCCGTCGTGCATGGTTTGCGGAAAAAAGAGAGAACAATGGGGGATTTCCACAGCT